TAGACTTATTTTGTATGTAGTAGACTTATTTTGTATGTGGTAGACTTATTTTGTATGTGGTATGTAGTAGACTTATTTTATATGCGGTAGACTTATTTTGTATATGGTAGACTTATTTTGGATGTAGTAGACTTATTGTGTATGTAGTAAACTAATTTTGTATGTGGTATGTAGTAGACTTATTTTCTATATAGTAAACGTATATAGTAAACTTATTTTGTATGTGGTAGACTTATTGTATATGTAGTAGATTTATTGTGTATGTAGTAGACTTATTTTGTATATAGTAGACTTATTGTGTATGTAGTAAACTTATTTTGTATGTGGTATGTAGTAGACTTATTTTGTATATAGTAGACTTATTGTGTATGTAGTAGACTTATTTTGTATATAGTAGACTTATTATGTATGTAGTAAACTTATTTTGTATGTGGTATACTTATTGTGTATGTAGTAGACTTATTTTGTATGTAGTAGACTTATTTTGTATGTGGTATGTAGTAGATTTATTTTGTATTTAGTAAACTTATTTTGTATGTGGTATGTAGTAGATTTATTTTGTATGTAGTAGACTTTTTTGTATATAGTAGACTTATTGTGTATGTAGTAAATTTATTTTGTATATAGTAGACTTATTTTGTATGTGGTATGTAGTAGACTTATTTTTTAATCTGTTGTTTTTCAATTTATAAAAATTCTTTTGTTTTATCGTTCATATTTGTTTCTTAATTTAAATTTATATTTTCTCTCTATTTTTGTTTTATTGTTTACACTCTCTATTTTCTTTTTATAATTTGTTTGTACTTTTTAGTTATTTTTCCTAACTAATTGGGATTATTTGAATTTTTTTTTACTCTTTGGTTAGTTATTTTGACAATTATTTTGTTCGTTTTCTATGTTTAGTTTTATTTTTTCTTAATTAATTTTAAATTTTAACACATATTTTTATCGAATCAATATTGGACTCATGTTATGATATGGTGAATTATAATTTTGCTAAGTGTCAAACTCTCGTCGATAATA